TGTACATAGTAGTACGAGTACATACTCCGTACCCCGGGCAGGGGTTCAGATCAGAATTGCTTGTATTTATCCCCTTGGCTTGACCCTCTTTTGTTTCTTTTTCTCCGTAATCCTTCCGATTCGCCGAGCCTCAGCTCTATGGACTTTTATTCTGCTTTTTTTTAAAAAGCAATAGTGGGCCAGGGTAGTAATAATGTACAAAACAAATTACGTCGTATTCAGAAGTAAATGTAATTTGGAACATTTTGCCTCGGTCGAAAGGGAAATACTTCCAAAATGACAATGACAGTAATTAGATAACTTTTCTTCAACTAAACAAAGGAATAGTTAGTCAACGGTTTCTGTACTTGAAGGGCAACTTAGAATACCTAGTTCAGTACAATTTTCAGCCCACAATATCATGAACCACGGGATTGTGGAATATCCGGAAGATAAGTTGATAAGTTGATATTAAGAATTAAATCTACCTTACAATTTGGAAAAAGTCGAGCTATTCTCTTAGGAGATCGCTTCAAGTTTGCTATATCAAGTAAAGGATCGAAAAGCTGCACTTTCAAGGACTCTCTTTTAACCACACCATTCTTTATGCACTATGTTCTACGCCTAGGTGCATTTCTTGCCTATATAATGTTGGGGTAAGAAATATAAACGGAAGAAATTTTGATATAGGTACTTTTCGTACGGCGATCCCATACAAAATGTACTTATTGTACTTTGTACTAAACTAACTGTTGTATTGGCCCCCTGCGGCTCGACCCGTCAAGTGGAGAGGCAGGGCGTGTATTGGGAGGACCGTGTACGTATACATTGGGGCCAGGGCAGGTAGTATAGTCTACATGTATCATTTGTCCCCGGCCTTTCTCGGAATAGGAAATCTTTCCACATGCTTATTGACTTGTTTATAGGCAGGAAATATCCATGGATCTTCTGCCGTCCCAACCTGGACCTTGTTACTCTCATTCTCGCCTTCACAATGATTTTGAACCGCCTAATTCCCACTTCAGGGCTTTCAGCAATTACCTCGGTCCAGGTGCTTCGGAGTTTCCTTTTCTTTCTGCTCTTCTATGTTTTACTTATTATGGTGGCGCGCAGACAATCTTCCCGTGACCCAACCTCAATATTTTTCGATCCAACGAAAGCCTATGATCCTGTCTATTCGGCTATCAGACTTGAGCAGGCAGCTTTTTTTATCGATGCAGCAAACAATGATACAGAACCGCAGATACCAGGAGGTCCACGGCAGCCTAAATTTTGCCTGGGAATTGCCACCATTGCGCGAAAGGGGGCCAGATATTTCCAAGCTACTGTTGGCACATTCCTTGAGGGTCTGAGCGAGGAAGAAAGAGCAGAAATCCACTTGATTCTATTTATTGCACACACGGATCCGTCGCAGCATCCTGCGTATGCAGAGCCATGGCTATATAAGCTAGCAGACCAGGTGTTGCTATACAATGCCTCTGAAGTTGACGTTGATCGTATACGCTCCCTAGAAACAGACGACGCCAAAATAGCAGGGCGTGAGAAGGCTCTCTTTGACTATACATATCTCTTAAAGGCGTGTGCAAACATTGACACGCCATATGTTATTATGCTTGAAGATGATCTCGTCGCTTTAGATGGATGGTATCATCGCACTCAAACTGCTTTGTCCTCTGCCGAAGAACAGACTCGAGAAATGGGAGCGGCGAATTGTGAGCTTTACCTCGAATTACCTTGTTTTCCTTTACTAATAGCATTTCTTGCCTAGGGCTATACCTGCGTCTATTTTACACCGAAGAACTTTTTGGTTGGAACGCTGAAGAATGGCTTACCTACCTTCTATTTTCCATTCTCGTCGTCTGCCTCGTGGTCTGCGTTCTCCTGGTCTCCCGAAAATACAACGCCTATGCCCGCTCCGTTTTACCAAATATGACAATACTTCTTTTGAGTGGTATATTCACACCATTATTGATTGGGCTCTTTTTTGCCATGGGCCGAGTGACCGTGCTTCCTCGACCGAACGGCGTACATCAAATGTCCAAATTTGGATGTTGTTCACAGGCCTTTGTCTTCCCTAAGTCACGGATACCGGAACTTGTCGGCCTATACACATCTAAGCGTATCGGATACGTCGACACGCTCACTGAGGAATATGCAAATGCGAGAAATGAGATTCGCTGGGCAGTGTCGCCAAGCCTTGTACAGCATGTCGGGCGGAAGAGCTCTAAAGGTGCTCACAATGATGTTTCATCACACGTCAAGATCAAGTCTAAGGCAGATTTGACAGTTGTAGAGAAGCTTTGGAATTTCGAATTTGAGATGAACGATGCAGAAGCTTTGCGCGCGGAACATGATGCTGTGAAGGAGCGAGCAGGTTCTTAATTGTGGATATTACCATTTTTAGTGGCTTCCTCAACAACATCGGTTTCTGTTTTGGGATAAAGTACGAAGTAGGGTTGAATTTCTATAGGGGATTGGTATAGGTTCTCCCCCCCCCCTGGTAATGGGACCTCTATTAGTTCAACGGGTGTTTCTCTCTCTCTTCCCGCAATCTTTCTCTCCTTCCCTGTTTTTCCCCTCAGCTCTTTCTTCTTTTTCATTTTTTTTCCAACTTGCCATGGATCCGGAGCTTGAATCAAATATCAAATTCTTTGAACTCGACAGACCGTGAGATTCTCCCTACCTGTACAGCTTTCAAAACTGACAAATCTCAAAGTCCAAACACACCTAGGCTCTCCATGGAGATAGAGCCCAACAGAGTTATATCGATAGGGGTCATCATCACTATCCGTCGGGCGGAAGATGACTACAGCAATCCTTGCATCTTCCGCTGGAACTTCCTACATCATGGATGGGGTCCTTCTGGCTTTATGATCTTTCAGCGCACGCGGGACGGTCTAAAGAAGGCTGAAAGAAAGCATAAGTCGCCACCTCCCCAGACCTTTAGACGTACAGGATATGAAGTTGAGACTGAAGAGCTTCTTCCTAGCCAAACTCTCCGAAGAAATATAGGTCATCCGTATCCAGTCTGGGACCATTTGGTCGCTAGGGAGAGATATGAGCTGTTCTGGCCGGGGGCTGAACATGCCTTGTGGGCTTGGGGCACTTTACGCGAGCACTGGGATCAAGAAATTGGGGTTAACATGGGGCTATCCCGTGTCATCATCCCCGGAGGAGCCTGTTGTTCTCTCACCGGCGTAGAGGAGGAAGACCTTTCGGATTCTTAAACTGACGACCTTCGCGTGGAGAAATCCAAACGAATGTGAGAAACGTTTCAACGTGATTTCTCGTCTTCCTCGTGGCTGATGTACTCTCTTTACAGCCCTGGAACCCCCTGTATAGGTGTGTCTCTGGAAGGCCCATCAGCAATCTCTGAAACGGAAAGGCTCTGTATCACAGTGAAGATCACCTATGATGGTTTGACAAACGAGGATTGCGAGGCTGTCCATGCTGATGCAAAGCCAATCACCATCCATGATTACCCTTTTTATCGTGATAACTTTCGACTACAACGCCGCTGCCACGATTACGATCCGTTGAAGAATTCGGACGAGGATCCTCTGCAGTGGAAGGGTTATTTTGACGACGAACGGAACGAGGGTTGGATGATAGTGGATGAACCCGACGTTGAGGTCAACGTCACGGATTCTATATTTTTCCGCAGCCTCCAACCAGGGGAAAGTCTTATTAGACATGTTTTCCTTGGCTTTCTCGACTTGCACCCCAATACAGTGGTCGGCGACACATATCGATACCAGTACTGGGGTTGCTGTTGGACTTGGGGCGATCGAGAAGACCATGCGAAGACAGTAGTGAAATTACCATGTTGGCTGAATGATCATGTCGTTGACCCCGCTGATAATGATGGAAGGCCGGTTATAACTCATCCAATTTTGTCGAGTTCACCGTTGTTAATTGATTTGAAATGGATACTCTTTGGTCTTGACGTAAAGTCTAGGAACAAAATAGACATGCATTTGACTTATGCTTTTGCCTTTTCTTTTGATTCATCGGGAAAGGTACGTTCAAGTACAGTCATCCAAACTGAATCACAGCAATTGGCTATCTCCAGCCCCCATGCTCAAGGTGGGCTGTGTCAATATACAAAACAGCTAGTCTGAAGGCACCTACTCTCATGTATTCTCGCGTATGCATGGACTACCAGCGTGTGGCATGAATTCATCCGCAATACACCCCCTCGAATGGAAAGTCGTCGATGCTGTCAAATAACATTCTCATCTCGTCGCCATCTCCCATCATCATCCAAAGATCCCAGAGCGCATGTGTCCAACATTTCATCCATCCAGGAAAAGTGTCATACTGATCCACAATCGGCCATGCTTCAAGAACCTTCACGTATCGTAATTTTTTATCTATACGCATCGGCTCTTGCTATTCAACGTCCTCCGCGGATATACCTTGCAGCGTTTGTAGCAATTCTTCATCGACGATGATATACACTCGAAATTTGGTCCATCTGTCACGTTTGCCTTGAGCGTCCACCCATGCCTCAGAATGAGTGCGAATCGCATCGATAGATACCCCGTCAAAAGGCGGATCTCCATGATGGTGGACCGGTACTTGGTGCAAATTGCCTTAGCATCTCCTATTTGTACTGGACATACTGTATGAGTAATTGCCGTTTGATGCAGGCCTCGATGTACCTAATAGCACCTAGGAATAAAGTATCGGATTCGGAGGAGTAGGTGGTGCGATAGATGACATATCCCAAGTCCGGGTAACCGTAAAGTCTATTATTGAGCTCGTTCATACTCCAGGGCTTGCGGGTGGAGGAGCGGGAGGTGTATCGGGAAAGAAAGTTCCGCGCTCCAAGGTACTGACGCCAACGCCGTCTAAGGCCAACCGAGTTTACCAAGACAGTCCGGTCTTACCGGGCTTTGCATATACTTTCTCACTGTTCGTTTGTCCTTTTTTTTTGGGTTTTCTGCTCGCAACTGCCGCAAATGCATGTTGTAGAACGGGCTCATATCAAAAGGATGTTTGGACAGTGCAGATCTCAAGGCTCAGTTTAGGCTTCTATATATAACAGGTTTGGATAAAGTGGCAGATGATAATAAACGAGAAAAAAAGAAGAAATGTCGTAAAGCTTCGTCAAAAGGGGGTATACTGCTTGTGGCGTAGCAGATGATAGACAGTACAAAATTGGGGCAAATTTTGGGTGTCACATATTCAGATCCCACTATCCAACATCAGGAGCGTTTCCTGTGACGGGGTGTCCCTCCGCATCATCTCGTGCACTTTCCTCTGTAGCATTTATATTGATCCTAGGCCGTCCATTCAAGTCACGGTCTTGCTCCCGGCCCTGCTGGGGCAAGGGCTGTGGAAACTGCGTTTCCAGAAACCGTTGTCTGCGTCTTCCGGTTCGAACAGCATGCAGGAAATTAACCCCAACCTGGGCGAAGAAGATCACCAGGAAGGCGCCAATCACAAATCCTTGAGAGACATACGTTTCGTCTTTCTGCTCTGGTTGGCCAATTTCGCCGGTTTGACCAGGTTCGTTGGGTATCTGTGAGCTAATACTGGGGAACGAAAGTCCGGGGCCACTAAATGAGACCGAGACCGAGAAAGAAAATGGTGTCAATGAAGTGAATACATTCGGCGATATCGAGGTGAATACTCCTGACAAGGGCCTCAATAATAGAGGGATGATGCAGAAGATGAGAAGAGGGACGGATAGTCATAAGACAGAGTAGAGTGATGAGCGAGTAGACCTTATAGAAAATGTCAGAATGGTATCTAACGGAGAGAAAAGATGTTGAACTTACCAGTCTCGAGCTTCGAGTTGTCTCGCCCATTTTGCCGAGATCTTCAGTCTCTCTCGAACACTTGTGGCAGCGAGGATAGGATATTTCTCTTCTTCAGAGATGGGCAAAATGCTCGCAAACCACCATGGGAAGCGGGCTGCATCTGTGGGGATGGGTCCATATGCTAGCATAACGCGCGGGTGCAGCCAAGGAGCCCCAGATCTGCGCTGAGTGCTGATAAACTCTTTTGCCAAGAGGAGTAACTGTTGCGTTGACATTAAGTCTAACGGGGGATCAGATTCATTCTCTTCTGGCAGAGCATTTACGCCGTCTGTTGAGGTTTCCATCGACTCGAGCCGCTCCTCCTCTGCGAGCGAGATATCATCTACGCGCTCTGTTCTGGCAACAAAATAGCCATCCCGCATTGCCGAGTCGACTATCCTGAACCGCGACACGCCTGTAGCCACCACAAGACTGCGACCATCCGGAAGCAACTCATATCGCTCGATCATCAACAGGGTTCCGTATTTCACGAACGGTACGTCTTCCCGTTGGCCTGGCAGTACCCGGCGTTGCCGGTTGTACATGACCATACCAAACTTTCCATTTCCACTTGCGAGAACGCGCCGAATCATAAGTCGGTACCTGGGCTCGAAGACATGGAGGAAAGTCGGCATTGTCGGGAATGATAGTGTGCACACGAAAAGTGGCAAGTTCTTCTCGTACTCCGGGCCTGTTTCATCCTGGGCGCTGGTCTCCCGCCTGGCGGAGATTTGGTCGGGGAAAAAGTAGTCGACCAGCCGCGCGACAGTCTGATTTACGGGTTCTGACTGTAGATCATTTGGCATGCCTAGCTTTCGGCGACAAATGGGACAGAGATCGGTGTGGTCCAAAACCCGTGCGACACAGTTTCGGCAAAAGGTGTGGCCACAAGGCGTGGTCATCGGATCCAAAACGAGGGAATAGCAAACCTGGCAGTCTAACTCGGCGCGGAGTCTTTCTCGCAGTGTTTGGAACTGAATGAGATCCTGCGATTCGATGCTTCCGGCTGGGGTTGTAGAATCTCCATAGATAACCTCACACGCATCAGAGGGGAACCGGCCTTCCAATGCCAGGCTATAGATTCCCCCCAGCCACCCACGCCGCTGCAACTGTGCACTTCCGTTTTGATTCCGCCCATCGGTTCTCCATCGCAGTAATGGTCTGTCATCCTCAGACCAATCTCGAGGTATGTTGTTTGCATTCTTTGCCTCTGTCCCCAGTATTTCTCCAAAAAGACCAACCAATTTCCCAAGCAGCACATCGGCGCCACAATCTCCAAAGCAATGGTCCCCAACACACGCCTTATTTCCTTTCCAAAAGCATGTAAATTCCTGGTCCCTCCCCTCCGCCACAGGGTAAGTAATACCCGTGCGCGGCCGAAGGGCGGGTAAGCATTCCCGACAGACTGAATTCCCACATGGTAGGCGGAGCGGATTTCGCAAGGGGCGGGAGCATTGCTGGCATTGGATTAACTGGATGACCAGATGAGGCAGGTCTGCTGTATCGCTAGGTGTATGCTCCTCCGAGCTCGAGACATCCGAGCTTGAGACCTTGGAGCTCCCCATTATGGTCGGGATGCAGTCAGCGTCGGTCGGGTGTGCCGAGGACACGGACTCAGCTGCATCTTCCATTAGACTATAGTCAACGGTATAAGACGTGATAATAAGAGGGAAAATAATGAAGCTCGTTGGGGTATCCGCTGTCCGCGGACAGATGTGGGTCAACTTTAGATAATCGGATCTGTGACCATCCATGGATCATCCGAGGTGTCAGTACATTCCCCTTTATACTCTAGGATTTTTATATTGGAGAGATATATATCTCTCAACTCCACTCATTACAACATATATTATTTTTGGAGGAACGTTTAAACAATGAATTTCACCAGCTTTGTTGGAGTGCCTATGAAGATGTCTAAGGGCTCTTCAAAAGCCTGTTAGCAAGGGGTTGACGCCCGAATGCCTTCCAAGGTTATTTAGAACGGCAGAAGGATTATCTAACTAGATCAATCTTTTCAGTATAGTTAAAATAGACCCTCATTAATACAGCAGACGCTCATAGGCAATAACTACATATGTACCTACAAAGGTAGCAGGTAGGTGACTAAAAGAATAGTCGCGCCCGGTGTGTGCCAGGCGCCATGACCATTAGGTCATGTGACTTGATTAGTAATCAATGTTTTCGAAGCCTTTGGAAGACTATTTCAAGAGGGTGGCATGCCTTATCAACGCCCAAAGGCTACTCGGGCAGAAGAAAGCAGATGAAATAAAGGCCTAGGCAGGAATGGACTACTCATGTAGTCCGTATTCTATCAATGCCATTCGGATGGCTGTCAGGCTCACGCTTATATATGGGCTTATGCTAGTTGTTATTCACCAAATCTATATGTTGTAGATCAGTCCTTTTAGTCTTGAACAGATCAGAGGTCAGTTATAGAAAAGTCGCTTTCACAGTAAGGCGCTTTCACAGTAAGGCTCCTACCGCCGTTTCCGCTATTCATATCCCCCAATTTCTCTACTGCTCTTCTTCCCTGAGAGCATGGCCAACTAGGAACATGACCAGTTCGTTCGTTTACCTACGGCCTTAAAACGGCTAACTGGATAGCTTTCACTAGTTGATACCTATAGTCGGCCGGTATTCTTAATAAAACAGATATGAAGTTACTCCTAGGCGATAATAAAAAAGTAGTCGTGCCCGGGATCGAACCGGGAACCTTCTCGGATTGAATAATCAAGCAAGCTCACAATTTGTGAACGAGAAATCATAACCATTAGACCACACGACTTGATTATTAATCTCATCATTTTAAATGATTTATATCACAATCTTGAAGGAAAATGATTCTAGGCCTCTATAGAGAAAATAGATCTTAAGACTATACTACTAAAAAATAGGGTGATAGAAGGATTAAGGGAGCTTTCTCTCGTAAAGACAAACAGGAAATAATTGTAAAAGAAAGGGAGATCATCAGGCTAAAAAGGAGACAGTACATCATCTCCAGTCGTGTGGTCTAATGGTTATGATTTCTCGTTCACAAATTGTGAGCTTGCTTGATTATTCAATCCGAGAAGGTTCCCGGTTCGATCCCGGGCACGACTACTTTTTTTGGTCTTTATGTGTGAGCATTTGTCAGTCTAGCCTAGATTTGACTTAACCTATTGTTATCTTTCTTGATCTTCTTTTTGATCCATAACGAACTATGCTGCCCCTGAATACCGCTTAGCAATAATGCAATTAGCCACTGGAACACAGGGTCTCCAAAAGACACAGCTTGCACTTTAGTCTTGGCTGTCATCTACCAAGCCACTCATCGGTATGGCAAAATGAGCTGGCTCGGTTCACATATACCGAGATATGTTCCTTGGCATTTCAGTTCTTATAGTCCCTACGGCCTGTTATCCTTTCATCCATTGCAGACCCTGTCGCGCCGACATTAAAACAATAAATTATGCTCTCGGATCGACTCGGACCAAATCATGTTGCGCTAAGGCGCTAAAGGACGCGGTCAACAATAGTAGGTCTTAGAAACCGGCGAACATGCAATCTTAGACACTTAGACCTCTCAGTATCTGAATGGACCTAGGGGTACATCACCTCTTATACACGCTCGGCCGAGGATTTTCAGGAAACGCAACCGTATTACTAAGATATATCTCTCAGCTTCACTTCTGCAACATACCTTATTCTCGAAGGGACGTCTGATAATGACTAAGGGAGACAGTGAGGGAGAAGTGAGAGGAATAACAAATTGTTTTTGATTAATTGGATTGAGCGGAATCCTTGAAAGCTCCAGTACCTTGGAATCTATTGACTGCGACTGCCCTTCCTTTCGATCCTTCCTCAAACAACAATGATGTTCCATTCCTTCCTCTCTCACCTTCCAGTCTGCCTTGCAAGGGTTCCCTGTCCTCGAAGATGACCATGAAACGAAGAAAACCACAGGGAAAAGAGACAGCATATTTTACCACCAGACCATAACAAAAACCAAGGTTCCTGTTTAGGGGGCCAGATCCCAGTCTCACGACTCTTATCCAAGTGTCTGCTGCGAATATCCCAACTGATGGGCGCGTGCATTCAACACAGCCTCATCCAGCTTGGCCAAGTCAATTCTCCGGATCTTCTCGTCATCACCGGCCTCAAGCGTGAACTCGCTGATTCATTATGGCAAAGACTCGAACAACTTGAATCAACAACGTTTCGAAAGTCTTTCAAACCCCTCACTGGCACCAAAATCAAAAAGGACAGTGAATCTATGACAGAGACTCAGCCATTTCCCCCTACCCTCTTGTCCCGGTTGAATGCATTGACCCTCACGAGAGACCCGGCTCCGTTCTCGCCAGAACGCTTGTGGAGACTTTAAGTGTGCGGGGCTAGTTTACAAGAACGTCCCAGACGTTATTGGTTTGACCACAATACAAGGCCAACCAGAGCTAAGGTTGGTTGGGGAACTAAACGTCCCCTGGGCCCGGGCGTATTCACTGACGGATGAGTATGACTACCCCGACAAGCTGCGCCATATACTGGCTCAGCCGCTTCTGTATATGCGGGAGCTTGGTGCTGCATTTGGCTTTCTAAGCAGCTATGAGGAAACTATTTTCCTTAGACAGATGCAGCTTTCAAATGGTAGCGGAGAAGCGCATGACGAAGGCACAAGTGGCAGACACGATTACCCTCACACAGGATGTTTGTTCCAATTCCAGAAAGGAACCCGACGTACACATCAACGTGCAAGGTCTGAATCTCCAGCGAACTCTGTCTGGATAGAACTCGGTATATAAAATCTCAGTACGGCCATTATCTCACTACCCGAATCCTATCGGAAAAGGAGAAGGTTGCAGAATTGGCCAACCTCCAATCCAAGCCTTGCGAGTTTTTAGATCTACTAACCTGGGTGAAGGCTCCGACAGACAAGTACCTGACTGAGTACGAAGACTGGAATCGCTTCGTTAATCATATTGGAAATTACCCTATCTTTCAACCCGGAAACCCGATCCTCATGGGAGCCTTTTCTATTGTGCGGGATCAACAATCCTACATTAAAGGAGCTCGGCTAGATCCCTCTAAAACCGACTCGGAGTCAGCACCTCCCTGGAAGCGAAGGGGAACCCTCAATCTGTCATCAACAGAATCTGTTGACCGTTTGCTTACCCTTTGCTTCGAAGTAGGCTACAGCTAGTCGAAGACCCTGCTCGAGAAAGACATGCGAAGACTTCTGATTGGCGGGCAAGGCTCTATCACTGCTGTGATTTTATCAAGTGGTACAAGAGACGAGCTGGGGTGGTGGGCACCATTGAATTGTGGCGACTTGGTGCGAACGGAAACCCATTCCGGGCTTTTACCAGGACGTGCTACAAATGATGTGTTTGACCTCTCTATCGAAGACTTGCGGACGGAGGCAAGGTTTGCTATGGCAAAGCAGGGACTGGTTCCACTTTGAATGTGTTTCAGATTTTCGCTGTTGAGTTTCAGAAAATAAACCAATAGCTGCCGCTTTTCTTTGTCTAGTCTCGCTTTCTTAAATTCCTTTCCGTTATACCTGGATGCAAAGATATTATGTATCGTCTGAGTGTCTGGATTCAAGTGATTGAAACAAGACATCCAAGAATTCCTCGTCGTTGAGGTGCAAAGCTTCGTAGGTCATGTATATCTTGACGGACGAGATGCCCGTTTCTCGGAAGGCTGGAAATTCTGCAAGCGTCTTTGCGCCTGGGTTGAGTAGTCGCTGTAGCATTGGTTGTGGGCACGTTCGTGAGCGCAAGCTAGCGTCGAGAGAACACTGTATTCATGCTTCCGTTGAGGCGCAAAGGCTAAATGGTGATTGTACCTCCCGCAATCGCGGCGCGGGTGCCTAGGAGGGTTAGCCAATTTAATGAACACGTTAATTGCCGGGTCTGGAGATTGGGGGACTAACCGGACTCGAAGCTGTCTGCAGTGGAGCCGAGTCCAAAAAGAGGCGGCTCCTGAAGGTGGACATGGGCATCAATTCCTCCTGGCTTGAAAGAAGGTCAGCACGTGGCGATGAGTTCACTCGTGATAGAAGTGGGGGAAAGACCAACCGTGACCAGCGCTCTCTTGGCATCAATGATTTTTGGCCCTTAAGCCAGCCAACGATCCTTGGGGAATAATTGAGTGGACCTTCTCGTCTTCAACGCCAATATTGCACAATGTCTTCAACAGTCGCCAAAGTACAGTTCAGCACAATGAGATCCAGATCAAAGTCCAATTGTTCGGACATATTGAAGATAAATAAGAAAATGTTTTTTACGTCAAATGAAACTCGATACATTTCGGAGTATCAAGTTGTTAAGAGGGGGTTCCGCTCTGGAACCGTTATCGAAAAGGCGGGGCATCGGACAATGCGCTAGTCTTTGTGCGTAGCGTTCAAGATCCGGTCTTTATCAGCTTCAGTAGGCTTTTTTGGTCTGCCAGATCGCGGCTTTGACACGCCATCTCGTCGCTCTTTCTCCTTTTTCACAGTGTACCGGATTGTAGAGAGCGCAATGTCGGGGTAGCGGGTATGAATGCGCTTATACCCCCACCCAATGGCATGGAGTTCGCATATACGCTCACGTATAGCGGGTGTAAGCTCTTTGGACCGCGCCATAGCGAGGGGTATTAGAAGGGGGTATAGAAAGTAAAAAGTAGTAGTTTGAAGCTGTATATGTACCTACAACATTGTAGGTAAAGAGATAACTTCTGACAAAAAGGCAGCTTCGCGTTCCATTTTAGCGCTCTGCACTACGCGTTTTAGGTAGGCGGTGTAAATCTATAGGTGAACTAACGCTTCCAGGGCTGTATCCGTGTGTCAAGTCAGTAGAGTTACCTGCATCGGAACAAATATCCCTCTGAATCTACAGTGAATCGAAAGCCTCTTCGACATCCAGATCCGGGGGAATTTGAGTAAGAGCCGGGGGGGTCCTTTAGATACTCTTTAAGCTCAATCTCGAATGAATCCCTCAAATCATCGTCGGTGAATTTTGGGACCCAACCTAGGATATAGCCTAGTTCTGACTTCATGAGAGAACTAGACAATTCTGTTAGATCGCGGTCAACGGAACGAAGTCAAAAGCTTAGAGCTTGCTTGGCACCATATGAAAGTTCCGCTATCAGGCGGTTTCCGCTCGTAAAGGCCTTGGCTACTTCGTCGAGAGAAGCTTCTGTGACTGTGGGAGATGAGCTAGACGTTGCGAGAACTCCCGGTGTGTGTACCGGCTCGTCTCGGTGAAGTAGACGCCTGCTTCCCCGTGTGGAATTTCTTTTCTGCTCGAGAATGTTCCTGCGCTAGCACATGAGGAAGCTAACGATATCTTTAACGTGAACGCGTCCGCATTGTGTTTTGCCATCCCCCAAAACCAGGCAAGCGCCCGTGTCAAGCATATTTTTGATCATGCCTGGCAATTGCGTTGATAACGTCGGAACTTCCCGCTGCCAAAGCCGAAAATCGTAGGGGCCATGACAATGTGAGTTCGCAAGCCGCCGTACTGCCGACCATGTTCGACGACCTTGATATCCTCTTCACGCTGCACCCAACTTTCAATTGATTCCCGGTACTTCATGTAGTGACAGATACCCTCTTGATCTGATAGAGTTTTGTCTCGATAAAACCCTGTGCTTGGGGACGGTCGCTGATGTTGGAAGCGCCAGTTACGCGGAAGTACTCAACGTACATGCTTCGCATGTTGCTCCTCCTAGTGAGATCTTCGACAAGCCAGAGCGACACCATTGGGTTATTATAACCACCCTCTCCGGTGTGTATGATGACTAGTCCTGTGTATTAATGCCATCGAAGATTTAAGCTCCTGGAGGGTGCGTGAGCATCTTACTGTCGAACTTTTCCGGCAATGGTTCCAATCTCCTTAGGTCCTTGCAGCTCGAGAATACGACGGCATTTGCTCCTTGTGCTCGGATGACTTGAGCGTCAGACTTGTTTTGAACGAGTCCAGATATTTTGACGCCACGTAACCATGGCTCAGAACCCTCCAGGAGCGATGTCAGGATCGTGCCGTCGCTTTTGACTAGTTAGCAAAATCAAAGGACAGTGGACCACATCACATACATATACCCGGTGACTCCTGTAACTAAGAGAGATTTGCGGCGTGCTATATCTTTGATGCCGCCGATGCGCCTGAAAGAAGGATGGAACTGAGAAAACTCGAACCGAATACTGAAGGACGCCAGAGCTCCAAGTCTGCATCCACATTGGGAGTCTCTGAATCCGCTGTATTGGAAGTCAGCCTAGGTATCTGAAAAGGTTGATGAAGTCTGGGGGTTTAAGGGGTTAACATCTATACAGGGGTTCCCGGTAGTACGACAGATGAGGAATGCGGCAGCCGGTGCCCCAGAGAAGCTCCCCAGATGATAGCATTGCTTTGAATCTGGTAGGCTGACCAGACTCAAGGCATTGTAATCCTTGGTGTTAAGCATTTTGGTTTCTTTGTGCATTGTGCTTTCATTGAAGTTGTAACACGATATTAACGGCTTAATACGTATCCCAAAAATTCTACATATCCTATTATTTATTTTTACTACTCTTCTACTACTACTCGATGCATATAGCATTCTCAATACCCTATCAATACTCTACCAATACTCGATAGCCTTTAATACCTAAAAAGACCGGATGACGCAGGGCCTTCCCAGTACACACCACATGTGCACAAACGAAGGGTACATTGAACTCGTTTCAAGGATTCTCCTTTCATTGTCAAGAGACATCGATGGTAAAAATTGTAAATAGTTATACACTTGAACATGGGACACGAGAGACGTGAAAGATCATTCAAAAACCGGCCTCCAACGGTATGCATTGAAAAGTCGGCTGCCAAGTGCTGCTTTCCTTGTCGTATTTGTTTCTTGAAAATCCTAGATATAGTCGGTTCGGACCATGTGGAAACGTTGCAATATCTTCCTCAGTGATCCACGGAGGTTGCCACTCATTCGGCCTGAAGATACTATAGTCACGTATACGAGCCTCTTCAGGGATAAGTGCTGCTTGTGACCCAGTGGCCTCATGCGTTGTTACGGGATTGTTGTCGAGAACTTTGTGAGAAAGCGCAACTGTGTTTTCTTGCCCCAGGGCAGGGCTATAGCCCTCCTCCAGCTTCATCAACACTTCTGACAAAAGAGCCACGGGGGCACATTTGAAAAACCCTTGTATTGGAGGCGCTAGTCGCAATAGATCCAAAGCCTTTCGCCGCAAGCCTGGATCACGACATCTCAACACAGTCATGGCGAGGGGGACACCCACACTCATCTCAAAGGTGAATGCTGGCTGGGCCTCATTTGGACCCGCTGAGGCATCAAGGATCAACCTAGACTGCTCGACGATAGTAACAAAGTCTGCAAAATGGACATCGAAAACGGTTTCCTGTTGCCTTAAACATCCTGTCACACAAATCAAAGCAGCAGCATGATATGTGAACAGGATAGGCTCTGGGCATATGGGGTCAACGGGTAAGGAGCTGTTGTTTTGGCAAAGATTGGTGTATGCCCGATGCCACTCAGCGAGACGGGCTCGGAGCGCTCCTTTTTTCGCGACCATTTCTGGGCTTATAGCGGACTCGGTGCCAACTACCCTGAGGTGTAGGTTCGCCTCGCGCTCAAAGAGGATAACTTCTGCGGCTAGGGCGGACATAATGGTTCTTGCCGAATCGACAGATGCGAAACCAACGCTCATGTCTGTTTCTACAAAGCCGAAAAGTTCAATAGGAAACTGAGCCCCTGAAATGGTCAGGGAACATGTGCCCAGTCGGAGAAATAAGGGAATAATACTGCGTTCCAACAGAAGAGCCTTACTCGCAGATACTCCTCCATGGCCAATTTTGGCACGGAGATCAAGTATCAAAGCGATACCCTGTCGGTAGAGCTCCAAGGCTTGTTCCATATGTCCTTGGATTGTCTCCACGCAGATAAATAGTGCGCAGCTGATGAGTGCAATGTATGGATCTGCGCTGCCTCGCTGGATCTGCGAAGAAACGCTAGAGATTGACCGCGAGTACCAAGTCAATGCATCCTGCTGGGCATTGTTCAGAAAACATGCTTCTTTATTTCGACGATCTCTCAAAAAATGAAAGTGCACGCACTGCTTCGGATTTTCGTACAATGCGCTAATTGCAATCATTGCATCCCACACAGCGGGCTCACTGCGGCAGATCTGCGGAACAACCCCTGTCCAGAATTCTACATGCATTCCACCTGCGAGATGCTGGGACACATGTTGGAAGTAATATTCAAATGCGCGACGTTCTCGTCTCCCTGCATTTTGAGACGATAGTGCGTGGCCTGGTGTAAAGGCGAATGGCGAGGCAGCCCACGGAGATAATCCTCTGTCCTCATATTCACATTTCCGTCCTGTAGTAGAGCAGCGAAGGCAACTTGGCTTCTCCTCGTCACATTTGACTCTTCGGATTCTGGTCGGTGGTCAGAGCTTAACCCTGAAAATGGCAGCGGAAACTCTTACTTGCAGGTTTTGCACCCGGATCGAGATTTGACAGCCCCTATACGGCGGCTCATACCTGAACCTTAGAAGTAGATGGGTTCATGAAGGTCCTTCCATGGATGCCCAGCGGGTCCACGGGTGAATGTGGTTATTAAGTAATCACCCTGTGAGCCGCATGACCGCCCTCATAAAGCGGCCATCGGGAAGCACCTACATCCATGGGCATCATAACAAATAAAACTAGACAATATAGCCACCTCGACAGCTCTGCTACACCTTGTAGGAGGTTGAAGCAGTCCTGCGGGCAGATTCTGACACTAGCCAAAGTTTCAAGGGGTTGATATAGAACTTCTCAAAATATATTGCAACGAAGTACCATGACACAGAAGGCTTGAAAGGGGGAGCAAAATAATCCCACGAAATTTTAAAAAGCGAAAAATTGATCATTTATTCATATTCGTGTGCAGCCCTGAATTCATAGGCTATGATGGACAAAGAGAGGAAACAGCAATGACTGCAGCACAGTATGGATGCCCAAGGAACCTGCTGCTGATAGTAACTAACTTACGCCATATATTCATTGAAAAGATCAGCTTGCAGCCAGAGATCTAGGCTATGTACGACACGTATAATGAGTATTATATACGTCCAAGTATTCCCTCGTATCCCGACCCATCTTCAACAGGTACAGCATCCTGATGTTCATCCCCAGAAACATCACTGGCACCACTTCTTTCACCCTCCATTGCTCCAAAAGCAGACTCTGTCAGTCTACTCTAAGCCTTGGTGGTATCACAGCAGCACTTCTGGGCCAAGGTGTGGCAACCATCGTCGGTCATGTGAGAGAACTTGTAAGGTGCGCAGTATTGCTCGCACTTGCCAGCCCAGAACTTGCTGCAGGAGCTGGGCTGGTGGCATGTGCCGGAGCGCGCGGCCAGATTGTCATCGAGGCTCGCCTCGGGGTTGGCGAACACACTGGCGGCGACGGTAGCGAGGACGAGAAGGAAGTTGGTCTTCATTGTGATCTTGGTTGAGTGGAAAGAAGAAGAGGTAGAATTATTTGTGAAGGTTTCAGATATGTTTGTTTCGTGGTTGTTCGAGTAGTTTGGACTGGAGTTGAAGGTAGGAAGGGAAAGGAAGGCAAATTTATACCTGAGTTGATGGCTGTTTTGATCTATCGAAATTGGTTTCCACTCTCAGCTTAGAATTAGTAAGTGTCAAGAGGGCCCGGAGCCTTCCAAGGTTAATTGCTGGGCAATATTCCGCGAAGTTTGCGGATCTTCTTTTGGTCTAACCAAGGTGGTGGACAGTTGCTCGGTGCAAGACGGTGTATCAATGTGGAGATCTTGCCGCCCTGTTCTCTTAAAACTTGTTTTTCCATATCAGGATATAATGGCCGCGGGACTGAATTGTTCTGTATGTTTTGCTGGACACACCCAATCATCACTGGTGGCCTGGGTGTGACCATCACCATGTGTATCCTCCAGGGCTGTCGTGCCAGTTTGAGTTACTATGAGTTAGAGTATCTACCTGCAGTCTCAGCCTCCAGAATGGCATGTGTAGTGTGACTAGTCTGGAATTTTTGCCTTGTGAGGTGGACTAACTGTGGGGTCGGTGGAGTGTCTCTCCATACCGGTGCGAAGCGACCTGCAACCATGTCAATCACTTCGTGTTTGCAAAGTCGATGCAGATCAATAAAGGCCCAAGTTACCTTTCTTGCCTAAGCTAGTCGGACGATGATTTCCCTTTGACATCTAGGGTTACGCTAGACTCTTATGCCTATAGACCCTTGCGTAGTGAATGTTTGGTTGGTCGTGTGCAGTGCGTGTCTGAGAAGACTTAATAGGAGCTAGCTTTGAGAAATGTCGATCCCTCCCATGTCAGAGTCCATCTCTGAAACTTCACCAGATACAATTAGAATACGGTTGTGGCCCATCTTGTCCTTAATGACCTCCACGATCTTTCTGTAGAAGTTTGCAATATATTCCCGGCCGTGTCTTAGCCGGTTCCAATATAAAAAGTAAATACAAGATATTGTGCCAGTTATATGTAAAAAAAAAGCCAAATCCTGCCCTAGACTAGCGGTATAAGAGACCATGTAGATCAACGGCAGAACACGAGATCTCAGTGGAAACCCCATAAAGCGGGCCCGAAAAGACCATTGAAGTCCTCTATCAACAATTTTACCCTTTTGCACACCTGGTTGGGGCCTGAAAATTCTCAAGAACCTTGAATATCCGCCCTATAACCGGAAGGAACCTATTGTGTACCATCAGGTATCAATCTCAAATTCGAAGTTCGATCAACCTAGATTATTGACGATTCTATACTGTGACTCCATAGACTCAAAGTTACAAATATGTTTACGCGTCAAGTCGGCCTTCTCTCGCTCTTTTTACTGGGCGCAGTAGCCGACACAAAGTGCTACTTCTGCTCGACTGCTTCCTACCTCTCCCCGGAAGCCCCGACCCATTCCTGCGGTGAAAAATGCGGTTATAAGTACTATCACGACATCAAATGTTGGAGGTCGGATCATGCGATGAACGACTGCTTCAAGAGCTGTTGCGAAGATGGGAACAAGGTCGCTACTCATTACATCTGTGACAATGTTCTTTCCGAGTGCCATTGAGCCTGTCATGCAGGATAACTTGGAAAACTGGGGGTGGATGTCATCTGGGCACGTTTAGAGTCTTACTCGTCAAGAGATCCATATACAACACTGTCACTCGGACTGATTTGGAGACATTTGAGTATTTGTAGAAGTCATAGATTGAACATGCGTAAATCGTCGCTCGGAATACAAAAAGCCAAACACCCAATCGGCCGTCTTCCAGGGTATATTGGCAGGACAGGAAAGTTCAAAAGGAAATGATCAGGGCATCTACTCTGACTGAGAAGTAGTTGACGAGTCCGATTCCGAGTCGGAATCTTCATCGAGGACAATTCGTCGCATGACACACTTGTCAAATAAGTCCAGGGCGAAACGTCGAGATGGGAGTCTGTAATGATGACTCTCCAGGATGCATAGGGTCTTGCGGAAGAGATGGGCTTGGTGGAATCGCTCTGGTTGTTTGGATTTTAGGCTGTAGAGAATTGTGAGCAAACGTGAGAAGTCGCAGGAGGAAACTGAGAGCCTTACATGTGAAGATCAGAAGCGGCTCGTTTGGAGAGCACCGTGTTGCCCATATCAACGATCAACTTCAAGATCCGTTGATTTCCGGGATCGGAGTCTGTGGTGGCTTCCTTGAGTTTCTCCTTGGGAGTTCGCTTCGATCTATAATTAAAGCCAGGGAAGGAAATCTAAATGGATGAGCATAATGAGACGAAGGCGAAGGGACGCAAGATACTCACCAAGAACAACTTTCGGAAATCGGTAGGGAGACAAAGTCCCAGTGAATCTCCCTTTTGGTCAACACCGGAATCCCAGCCCAAAGTCTGCAGAACTTGGAGTCCGTGTCGACTGCGAGAGATCAAGCCCAAAACGAAGAAAGCAGTGCCTCGCATAGTGAGAACTCCTGCACTGGTTGCTATCTCCACGATCCGTTGGATAATCTCAGCGTCTAAGAATGGTGCGCCAAGCTCCATTGAGCCGATATTACCGACAGCCCAGAGACATCCTTTAGCTTTGAGAAGCATTTCGTTGTCTTCTTCATCCAGCCTGAAATCACGAATCGTCCGAGCAAATTCATTGAAATGACCAGACTGTTCCAGCAGCTTACACCCTTCGGCAGTTCGTGCAAGTTCTCGGTAGAAATGCGGTGGTACCAACCCAATATCCTGGAGGTCCACCAGATCCTCGGGGACAAGGCTGCTACGTCGCGGCTGCTCGACATAAGCTCGGGAAAGAGCGGCCTCAACAAGACCAACATAGCTATCGTTGCGACCAAGGAACCAGTCATCCATCTCTTGAGTGATGTAATCGAGGCCATCCAGATAGTGGTATCCCACAGAAGTCGACAGGAACCGGAGAAGTAGTGGTGCACCAATTTCACCGAGATGATCGAGGGAGGGTCTACATTTGACCACGAACTCGAGATAATCCCGTTGATTGCATGCCTCTTCCAGGATTTTCACGGCAACCTGGCAGACTGTGACCTCGGGATCGTACAATTGAGTGACAAGAAGTTTAACCACCCATTCTGCATTTCCAATCGCCACGTGAGGCGAAAGTGTTACATCCCCAACGGCATATTTGCGTAGGAGTCTCGTTGCAAAGATCCGGATTTCCTTGGAGCCAATTGTCAGGGCCTTGGAAAGCATGACCCGGAGATGACTTTCGCGGCTATAATCCATGTTTCCTAACAAAGTCTGAATGAGATCATTCCGATCTCGCAGCTCAATGATGTGGTAAAACATGTTGAGCATATGCCATCGTTCCATCATGAGCAGCCCGTTGACATCGCCACTCAATGATCCTAGCATCGCAAAGTAGCCTCCACTAAGAGTATTGGTCATTTGGTCTTTGGAGAAAAGCGGGGACGCAGACGTTAGCCCACTCATGCGGTCCAGCTGGGCCAGGCATTCTGCAACCTGGCGAAGGAATTTGTTCTCGGCCAAATACTTGGTGCCCTCGGGGGTCATAACGAGAGTACGCATGAGAACGCAGCCGGTTCGAACATATCGTTGATTTGCCTTTGTGTTTGGAACCATGGCAAAGCGATACTTGAAAGGCCGATAAAACCCAATGAGACGTTTCATGAACTTGGAGCCTTTGATTGCCTCGTCCATTCTTTTTGGATTTGTGAGAGGACCCTCCACTAGGCGGTGGATGATATCCCATTTCCACTTATTGAAGTTGACGGTATTCAGGACGTGAGTCTCCAGGATAGCATTACGGAACTGGGTCTCGTCCATGGAAGGACTCATCTTGTCCTTCCCTTGCTCAATGGGAAGCAGAGAAACCGATAAATCAGTCTCCATGTTGTATCGGCCCTGCCCGCTGGGATATCCACCGGAACGTGCCAATGTCCGATTGATACTATCGATCTGGAAGATAGTTGCGGTTGAAAGGTCGTGATTCTCAGTTTCAAAGTCGACTGCAGATGGGATTAGGTGTGGAAGCACTTGAAGTTTT